GGAATAAAAAAAAAAAAAAAAAAAAAAAAAAAAACTTCTGTCCAGCGAAATCGAGACTGTACTTTGCTTTCAAACAATATACCCGTGCAGTCCCGAGCATAAAAAACTTCGGGTTATTGAATCCAAAGGAAGTTTTCTCGTGGAGTCGAAAAGGAAATTTTCACTCGACGCCGATATCATCGCCGAGTATACGTTTACAGGGTATATTTACGGCTTTTTCAACTTCGCGAGACTCCCAAAGCGCCGAACTTGCGAGGATACACGCGTACACACTTTGACACTACAGTGCGTTGTCAGCGCCTTGTTTTTGTTCTCGAAACTTCGATTGCCCATCGGATAGCAATTTATATGGGAATCTGATAATGGAAATCCCGGAGAAACGTAGATCTTCCCTATTAGAGAGCTTAACCGGGAAAGTTAGGGCTAAGAGCTGGATTCGAAAGGGATCGGTTTTAATGGGCTCCAAGTCTGAGGTATGGACCGTCTTATCTTTATCTAATCGTACGACCATCTGGGTCCAAGAGAATAAATTACTCGCCGATGCGAGGATTCAAAGTTACGATTTAAACGATGATGACGAAAAATAAAAGTAACCCTACTGTTTACGAATTTTTTTTCAATCTTCTAGTTGAATGACATACCTGAGCCGTTACGATGTATTTAATAAGTCTTAACTTTGCTACTAAAGATTTCTTAATTCGAGACTCCAGTATTTTTTTATCTTTTAGTCGAAGCATATACATCTCATTACATGCCATTGTGACTGTACACAACATATCATTGCATTGTACTTATATAGTGTTGGGTAGTAGAATACAATAACCATTTGAAACAATACAAAAGATGGGAAAAACAAACAACAAGGGTAAGAAAACGCAATGACCATTTGCTTTTTATGCGGTGATTTTTCCTAATTCACGCAATCTAAGCATACATAATGAAGTAGGGTAGGGGACTTTGGTAAATGTTTGCCCAACAATAACAGGCATAACTCGTGAAAACGCGCTCAACATCATTCCAAACACAAAACACGTGCTTTTATACTTTGTGTTGCTTGCCCATACTCCTCTGCCCCCGGGCCCCCCTCTCGTTCGGTCTGCGTGCGAGGGTGTATTTAGCAGTTCGGCATTACAAATTTATGAAACGTGCTCGAAACGCAAATTCGGCGTGCGCCTTGGATACGCGAGAGTTCCAGAACAAACATTGATTTTCGGGCTGCGATGGAAGGCTGATAACAAACGAGGGGTGAGGAGCCCCGTTTTATTTCAGATGCAGCCGCCGCTAGTCTTTGTTTAACGTCTTTTGAATACCAATGACCCGCACTGCTGAGTAACCCCATGAATTTTGTATTAGTGGATTAGCAGTCAATCGGACTTTTTGTCTAAAGTACCAACTTTGCGGGAGTTGGTGCACGTATCAGTGGAGGCTAACGTTTTATCGGGGATTATTTTGTTTTTGTTTTCCCACGAAAAGCCATTGTTATTACTTTATGGGGTCTTTTCAACAGAACTACTCGATGACAGCATACTTCTCCGCTAACTTGAACATCGGATGAAAAAAAAAAAGTTTTTGTTGCTAAAGTAAACTCATTAAAAGTTACACGTGGGATAAATTTTGTTGCAAAAGTTTGTAAAAAATGTTAATACTCGATTTTTCTGTGAATCGATGAATCGAAAAAGGGCTTTGAAAGCTTTGCGAAAAAAAATTCTTCAAAAGATTCGATCAAAGCCATTTTCATTAATTTTATACAAATAGTTATACCTATGAGAAAAAAAAATCCCCACCCATCCAAGAAGAGTTCCATCGTATAGAACGGAAGAGTGCCAGCCAATTTTTTTTTTTTTCAATCTCAGTACACCCGTTTATATTTCAGTAAACTTTGAACCATTTGAATCCATAAACTACCTCCGTATCGTTCACCTACATTATTTCAAATAAAATATTACACTCACTTACCTACAATTACTCCTTTTTTTGTTATTATACCTATTGATTATGCAACCACCATTTCAAATTTGGGGTATGTTACACATCGTAAGATTTGCATGGATTCAGAGTAATAAATACTTGGAGAAAAAAAAAATTCACGTACTTATCACAGCAAAAACATGAAAAAAAAAAAAAAAATTTCAATGATTTTTTCCTACCTCAGGCGTTTTTGAGAGGCTGGTGTGCCCTCGGTAGGAAAAATAGGATTTGCCACATAAGCGCCATNNNNAAAAAAAAAAAAAAAAAAAAAAAAAAAAAAAAAAAAAAAAAAAAAAAAAAAAAAAAAACGATTGGATGTGTAATCGAAAAATCGGATGGTGAAAATAGATGATCAAGAAATCGGTGTAACCAACGTAATTACGAAAAGTTCCAATTTTTATCAATTTTATGGGTCTCTCCCTCTCTCTCGCTTTTTTCCTCGTTCCCGGAACTTTAATGACCTCTTCCTCGAGCCATTAGGCATGTGTGTATGTGTGTGTGTGCGACGTGTCCTACTCGTTCAATTACTTCTATTCTACCACAGCTATATAGATGTTTCTTTGTAATTAATGTTCTCCCTCGTGCCGAACCAGTTTTATGGCGCCACTCTCACCCGCTACTTTATACCTTCATCCTCGACATCCTTAGCTGTCCGTGAAACTTCGCGTAATTATTTTCGAGAGTTTGTCAAGCTTTCGGATTCAGTAACATTCACAGCAACTCCCATCAAGAGGTACTTTAGATCAAATTCGTTTTCATACAAAAGCTATAACTGCGTAACAAACAACATATTTTTCAGATAATATTTATTGGAAATCGATGGTTTTATCAATCATAGAACCAACATGGTAGGAGAGTTTTCCAACTATTTTTCGAAACCTTGTTTAATACTTTTCGATTCAAGAGACCTTGGAATGTACTTTTACAAAAAAATTATACTTTGTTTACTGGTTTCGTGGTAAAATATCTCCCCCCTCTGGATGGGTGCTCTAATCAATTTTCCATCCCCATCCACTGTACATTTTTATAGTGGGGCAACCGAGTTCGATATGATTAGGGTCACGGTATAGGCAAACACATATTCAAGGTCAATCGAGAAAAACTCGTGAGGAAAAAATAATGAAACTGGAGTGACGACGGCCATGACTTTATCTCCGTAAATCTGAATGAGCTACATGATTTGGACTTTTTCAACCGGAGCGTCTCAAGTTTCGTGCCAACACGGGATAATTAGAACCTCCGATGTTGGATTGATGGTGCAGCTGTTGCGAGGAAAATTCCAAATACTTTGACGGAATCGATGATCCACCGTTGTTCAGTGAAGTTTGCACGACCACTGTTGTTGATTAGCCAAAGATATCCCTTATAGGTCCCACGATACGCGAGTGTCAAACATTAATCGGCAATAACAACGATA